TCTCGCTCTCTCTCTCTCTCTCTCTCTCTCTCTCTCTCTCTCTCTCTCTTCATTAAATTATCAAACAAAAAACAAAAGAAAAATGAATTTTCTTTTGAAACAAAATTCAAAAAAAAAATTATCAAAAAAATTGTTCAATTTTTTTTCCTTTCATTATGGTTTTTCAAATGAAACAATCCAATATTGAAATTGTTTCATTTGTTTTTCCCAACCAATCAACCAACCAACCAAATTGATAAAATATTTAATTGAACAAAACCTTCAAGCTAAAATGATTATTTGTTTTTTTTTTTGTAACCATAATGTGTATTTTATCATTTGTTTGTTTGTTTATTTATTATCAAATTACAACTACAAATGAAAAAAAATGAATAGCAAAAGAAAAACAAATAAACTAGAAAAACCTTGAAAATCTAGTTTATTATAATAATAATTAAAATTGATGATAATCTGGATGGATGATCAGTAAAAAATGTCTTCAAGGTATCATCATCATCATATGACAACTATTTACACACATTAATGGTTAATAATTTTTTGTTTTTGGGTTACATACACCTACACCCAACTATTTATTTATTTATTTACCCAAATATATCCAAATATCCTTGGCCTTATAGCAACGTTTTTTTTGTTGTTGTTGTTGCTATTTTGACACAATCAGCAAAGTATCGGATGTTTCGAGAATAAATCCATTTCCACAGCATCATCATTAATCAATCAATTTGATTATCTTTTTGGTTTGGTTTGTTTGAACAGTTGTTGTTACTTTCAATTAAAAAAAACTGTCCCAATTTTATCATTTTGTTTTTTTAGCTGTTCCAATTGAAATAAGTTGAAAATTGACGTCTTTTCTGTTGTTTTTTTTTGGCTAAAATAAATTACCCGGAATGATTTTGATATCGTGTGGTTTTTCCCTGTTGTAATTGATTTCAGTTTGATGTTTTGACATCAAACAACTGTTGATGGCTTTGATGAAAGTCAATTAATTTTTGTTTTGCCTATGGATTATCTTTGATATTCTGTGAGGGAAGGGAAAAAGGGGGAGAAGTTTGTAAGATAAAATAGAATAGAAATAGGGTGGATTAAAATAAGAAAAACACGAAAATAATTAATTACCGGGGGGGATAATCAAATTTTCTTTCGGTAAGAAAAAAGAAGAGGGGAAAAAAAGGAGGAAAAAGGTTTATCTATTTGTGTGTGTGCGTGTGACATTTTCACAAATGACGTATTCCGGATATTATCATTATTATTACCCTAAATAATGTTTTTGTTTAGTTTGATCTAATTTTCTTCTTCTTTATCAAATGCAAAATGTGTGTAAATATTCTTCATCAAATGTTCTGTCCTTCTTCTTCTTGATATTTAGTTTCACAGTTTTATTTATTCATTACACATGATGATAATGAATCAATTATTATTATTATTATTATTGCATAACATCTGGTGGTTATCAAACAAACAAACAAAAACAAAACAAAAACGGGTACATTTTTCATATTCTACGTCCAACCAACAACAAAGAAAAAATTCAACAGCTTTTTGTTTGTTCCATTAGTTTTTTTTTGTTTAGTTTATCAAACAAAGATGATAATGATAATGATGATGTATGATGATATATGATGATGATGATATGTATCGTATTTTATGAATGACCATGAGACAAATTAAAATATTACATAATTTGCATAAAGATGTTTTAATTAATTAATTAATGTTTTTTTTCTCTCTAATCTATTCATCACGCTGGATTGATATGACATTTATGTTTTTAGGGTGCGATAATTTTGTTTGACATTCTCTCTCACTCGTCCGAAAAAAAAAGTCAACAAAACAGGATATAAACAACAATCGATACAATCGATACTTTTACTATCGATATTTTTATTCAAAATTATTATTATTATTAAAGTAAACCAAAAAAACAAACATGTCGTACAATTATCATCCATTTAATTATAAAAAAATTAATTATCAACAACAACATCAACGACGACAATCAATCATTCCAATGTCATTCAATTTTTGTCATCATCAACATTATCAACATCAGATAAAAACAATATTTATATTGTTTTTATACATTGGATGTTCATTGGCATTACCATCATCATCTTCATCATCATCATCATCATCGTTACAAAATATTGATCAACAATTACCATCATCATCGTCGTCATCAATATCATCGTTTCATAATAATAATCATAATAATAATCATGGACAAGCACAACAACAATCAATTCTGTCAAAACCATTGACATCATCATTCATTTCATCACCATTATCATTAGGTTTGTCATCCATTTTTTTCGTTGTTGTTGTTGTTGTTGAATTATTAATTAACATTTTTCTTCTGTTTGTTTGATTACAATTGAATCAATTACTTAATTAAATTTTGTTTTTGTTTTCTGTTTTTTTCAGCAGAAAAACGAGCCAGTCAACGAATGCAATATAATTTTGGTCTTGGTAAACGTATACCATCATATAGATCGGATTCGGATGAAATACTTGAACTTGTTCCATCATCATCATCATCGAATTTCTTTGAAAATCCTTCAATGAATGGTCGAAGATCGAAAATAGATTTACGGCCATATTATTATCAAATATCAAATGCTATTGATGATTCTGATTCAACAAACATTAATGATGATAATAATGATAATTTTGATGAATTTCATTCAAATATACCGGCATTTGCACCATCATTACAAAAATCCAATATACCGATGACATTATTTTCATTTTTAGATCAAAATGATAAACGTTCACGACCACAACGATTTTCATTCGGTCTTGGTAAACGTTCAAAAGAACAGGCTATGTTTAATGGATTGAATAATAATAATCTAGAAGAAAATAATAATAAAAATAATAATTTAGATGATGATTTTGATATGAATTCAATGGAAAAACGTAAAATACAACCATATGGATTTGGACTTGGTAAACGACAACAACAACAACAACAACAAATAAATTCAAAAAAAATCAAAAAACTAACAAATTTTGAAGATTTCATTAAACGTCGATATTCATTTGGTTTGGGTAAACGTTCCGTTTGAACAACAATTATTCGAACAATGATGAACGAATGAAAAAAATCACACAACAACAAACAATCACTATCGATACATACCAAAAAAAAAACAATCGATATTTTTTAAGTTGCAAAACTCATTTCTAAAAAAAACAAAAATTTGAATTTTAAAAAACAAAGAAATTATTGTGAAATTTTTAAAACAAACAAACAAAATCACCTTTTGCTCTTTCTCTAACTCATCTCTCTTTCTTCTTGTGTTTGCTTTATCTATCTATCTATCTCTATCTCTATTACTTAAACAAATCACCAACCAATTTTATTCATTAGTTTTAGATTTGAAAAATTTTATCAAAACAAACTAAAAAAAAAACATTCCATTGATTTCCTTTTGTTTCCTCTCTCTATTTGTTTTTTCTTGATGATGATGATGATGATGAATTTAATGGGTAACAATGTTTTTTTTTGTGGATGATAACTAATACAAAAACTAATTTCAAAAACAATGATCAAAAAATGAAAATATATTTCAAACACTTCCTTTTTTTCGGCCATCATTGATTGATTGATTGATTGATTAATAAAAATGAAAAAATAATAAAAGATTTTATTTGTTTTTTTGATAAAAAAAAATGAGAAAAAGAAAATATTTTTTTCTGGTTTTCTGAATTCGTCCATCACTCACCGTACATCAACAAACAAAACGTTCGAATTATATATTCGATCGAACGAACGATTCCAACATCTTATTTTTGAAAACCAAAAACAGAAAATTATCCAATCAAAATCTTTAATAAAAAAAATTGTGTAACATTTTTTTTTCTTTTCTGAAAAATAACTTTTTCTTTTGATTGTTTGGATGAAAAATTCTTGTTTGTTCCGTTTTTTTTTCATTTTGACCGATCACCACCATTTGCCATTATCATCTTTTTCATTCGGAATTTATTCCGATTCAAATGCCAAACACGTTGTCTATTTTTTCATCGTTTGTTTGGTTCATATGCAATTTGCAAATCAAATTTTGTTTTGCAAAATTTTTTCTAGAAAAAAAAACTTGACCATCATTCATAATCAAAAGCAAAACAAAACAAAAAAAATGGACAAAAATGGGAAAATTTCCCATTAAACAATTCCATTGTTTTTTTTGTATGGCAGCCAAAAAACAAAAGAATGTTTCTTGGAAATCATCATTTCGAACGATACCATATAAAAATTATTACTATCATTATCATCATTATCGACATGAATTGCATAACGAAAATTATCCCCGAAACAACAAAAAAATTATTTTTAGTTATTATTCAGAATTTTTTCGTTTTTGTTTTCTCCAAATTCATTCCATTATTTGTTGGCCAAAAAATTTGGCTTTGTTTGGGTTGCATCTTTTCGAAACATTCCAACAACAACAAAACAAAAACTTCAATAATGCTGAATGACGAATAGAGAAATGTTTTCCAATGCAAATTAAATTAATGACGACAACAACAACAACAACAACAAAGATGACAATAATAATCAAACAACGACAAACATTGATGAAATCTTTCGATCAATTAATTTGATCAATTCAATTATCATCAAATGATTTATCCAATAGAACATTTTTTCCCCACTTTTTATCCACTTGTGTTTTATAAAGAATGTTTGTTTGTTTTTTCTTTGTTCTTTTGTTACGTAAATGGAAAATACAGAAAAATTCCAATTTGTAACATCTTTATCAAAAAGAAAAGAAAGAAGAAGAATAAGTGCAAATCTTCTATGATAAATGTGTAAATGTAAGTGGGTTTTCATACAAATCAAAATATATTTAAATCAAAATGTTTTCATTATTAGGTTGGAAAATGCAAGATAGAAGAGAAGAAAACAAAAATACTTTAGCCCACTATACTAATTATTTCAACGAAATTCCATTTCCAATTGATATTGATGATGATGATCAAACAATGGATAATGATTTTTCGAAAGAAAAAATAAATAATGTTTCTTTTTTAATAATGATCATAATACATTCACTTTACAACTACCATCACCATCAATCAATCATCAACATCGATATCATTATTATTAACATTTAACCATTCCACTAGTATGGTTGGTGTATACATATTTTGTTGTTGTTGTCAATGTCTATTTCAATGTTTGATGTTTAATGTTGGCAATGTCATTTTCAATTCATGTAAAAAAAACAACAACAACAATGACGATGATGGGGGATGATTTAGTTTTCTCTTCTTGAAAATCATCCAACACCACCACCATTGTATGCAAATGCAATAACATAGATTCTCTTCTGTTATCCCTGGTTAATGATTAAAAAAAATGCCACCGAAAAAAAATCAAAACAAAACAAAAACAAACAAATCATAGTAAACGAGCCAAAATATACTGTTGTCATTAATTGGATGAGAAAATCATAAATTTTCAACAAAATTTATCAACTACATCAGCATTATTCATGAAACAATTTTTCAATTTTTGATTAATTGAAAAATGAAAAGGTAATGGTTGTTTGTTTGTTTTTCTGATGGTTGTATTCAAAATTTGTTTTTTTTCCATTTTTTCGATCATAATCATCATTATCTTGGACGTTGCCAAATCAACCTAATCAATCAAACAAACAATAATGATCATCATTCCCAAAAATAAAGATAATTGATTAACGATTCTACAAGGCTAGCAATCATAATTATCGTTTCTTTTTCTGTTACTTTTCATTGCTGCTGCCACTACCATCTTATCAATTGAGCTTGATTATCAACAAAAAAAACATCGCCCAATTTACCTGTGCGATATTTTTCTGTTTTCTTTGCTTTGATTTCCCACATCCACGCTATTTATCTATCTACAAATCTATATTTATTGTGATAATCATCATCATCAAATGATAATTTAAGGAAGAAACCATATAAGGATGAATAATAATAATAATAATGTAGATGTTTCACGTAAACAACAACAACAACGTTTTTATCGATTGAAATATTCGGATGTAAAAAATGATGATAATAATAATACAACAAAAATGTTGAAAACGAAAAAAATAATGGAATCGAATAATAATAATAATAATAATAATGTTATTGAAAAAGATCTACTAAAAGTAGTTGTTATTGGTGAATCTGGTTCAGGAAAATCAAATCTAATTCAACGTTTAGTTAATGATCGTTTTGAAGAACGTTTACCATCAACAATCGGTATTGATTTTGCATTATATCAATTTAAATTAAATTCATTATTCGATAAGAATCGTCAACAAACATATCATGCACAAATATGGGATACAGCCGGAATGGAAAGGTTAGTAGATTTTTTCGTTTCGTTTTTCTCCCAAAAGAATTCTAAAGAATTTCTTTTCTTTTTTGAATATAATCGATTTAAAATTGCCCCAAAAACATGCGTCATTGACAAACAGACACAAATACTAATAATAACCAATTTTTTTTGTCTTTTTCAAAAAAAAATAGATATCGATCATCAATGACAAAAATATTTTATCGTGATGTCGATGGTGCATTACTTGTATTCGATTTAACAAGACGTGATCATTTTCAAGCATTACCAAGATGGTTACAAGAAATTCGTAATAATGTACATAAACATAATTCTATTGATGATGATGATGATGATGATGATTATGATAATCGTGATGATAATGCTGATAATATTCAAATACCGATAATATTGGTTGGAAATAAAATCGATCTATTCAAATCACGTGAAATTGATCGTAATGAAGCAATAAAATTTGCACAAAAATATCATTGTGTTAGTTATGTTGAAACATCAGCAAAAAATTCAACCAATGTTCATGAAGCATTTCAACAATTATTTGATCATATTTTAGAACAAAAACGGTTAAATTATTATCGTCAACAACAACAACAACAACAGTATGCAGCTAAATTAAAATCAAAAAATTCAACAAAATCTAAATCAAAATCTAAACAACCGCAACAAAGATCAACAACTAATCAAAATTCTATACGATTAACACGTGATCCAAATTATTTGGAACAAAGATCCAGAATCAAAGAGAAGAAAAAATCTGGTTGTAGTTGTTGATTATTATTATTATTTATTTTTCTTCAAAAATCATTTAATTTGTTAATTTTTGATACAAAAAAAAAATTTATAATTTTGTGTTGAGTGACATAAATATTAAAACAACAAAAATAACTCTTTTTTCAACTTTCATTCAACTAATGTTTGTTTGATTATCACTTGGTTGTTGTTGTTGTTGTTGGCCACCAAATAATTCCCGTAACATTAATAATGCTGTATCTTCGGAAAACCAATAATAACCATGTGATGTAATAGCAAATACATATTCATTAACAATTTCGAATGGTCTTTCCTGTAGTACATAATCTAAACGACGACCACGATTCAATTGTCCAAAATCTAATGATAATATCCTATTCAATTCTGATTCATTCATATCTGATTTGATTGCTAATTCGGATAATGAATTTGTTATCGATGTTGATGATGATAATGTTGTTGTTGGTTCTTGATTAACAATTTCCTGTTGTTGTTGTTGTCCAGGTTGTAATTGTTCCTGTTGTTGTTGTTGTTGTTGTTGCATTTCGGCAGTAGGTTCTTCAACATGTGCTCTAGCAAAACCATACAATGAATCTATTGCTCCACGAATACCGGTCATAAATTTTTGTTTCAAATCACTACCAACACGTTGTAATGAATCTTTTAGCTCTAAATGTATACGTTTACGGCCTTTATGATGTGGAACTAATACCGGTTTAATTTTAGCAAATTCACGATTAATTAATGGTTCTAAACGATAGGCAATCGGATCATATGGATGAAATATATTGAAAAAACCGGGACATGTTGGCAGACGAAAATCTGGTGCCAGATCAAGGCCACGTATTGTAATGAATGCTGATAATGGTGAACCTAATGCAAACAAACATTCTGGACGAAAATGTAGCTGTTCAATTTGATTATTATTCGATTGTTGTTGTTGTTGTTGCTCATTATTAGCTGATGTTGTATTTAATGTTGCTGTTTGATATGATAATAAATCAAACAGAATTAATGAACCAAGTGAATGTCCAGCCAAACCAATACGGCCACCAAAATATGGATTTCGTTGCAAGAATATTCCAAATAAACGATTAAGTTCATTACAAACATAATTTAATAATAATTTTGAATGTACAGATGATGTATAGAATAATGCATCCAATATTGTATCATTAGTGAATGAACGTAATTTTTGTATAGATGGTAATGTTATTTCACGTAAACGTTCATCCAATGATTTTGTATGTAATGCTTGATGCCATGTAACAGGTAATACTTCAACACGACCTTGTTCATGACCATAATGTGTTAATAGTAATTCATGTGTTATTAAACGAAAATCATCAACAACATCTTTTAATGGTCGAAAACTTAAATCACAAAATTCACCAATACCATGTACAAAAAATATTAAATGTGTTACAGATGTAGCCGATTCATCACGTTCTGGTTGTGTTTGAATTAACCATGGTCCACGATAACAATAACGTGGTTGTGAACCAGGATCGGATGTCATTAGATTTTGCCAACCAGTAGATGGTGATGATTGAACTGGATCATTAAAATAATGATAAACAGAATTATGTGCATAAAATACAACAAATTCTGTTTCGCTTAAATCTAAACGACGATTCCATTGATGTGTTAATGAACAATCTCTATATAGAAATTTCAATAAGTTATTATTAACATGATTAATTAGGATTATTACTAACCGATATGTAGATTCTAACAATTCGGCAATATATTCCGAATATGGTACATAACGATAATCAGTTTCACGTTTATAAAACCATGAACAACGTGAAACCATACTGGATGATCCTTGCCAATAAACTGGCCAACGTAAACGATCACGTAAACGAACATCATAACGTGTACCATTTGTTGGTATAAGATCATCCATACGACATTGACGAAATGCATTTTCCAATTGATAACTATCTAACATTGAAAATGCTTGCCAATCATCGGGATTATTTTCCGGATCTTTTTGATAAAACCAATGATGATCAACTTCTTTATATGTTTCTGGTTCAGGTGTTGTTGCTAATTCCGGTGATGGATTTGATGATTCAGGTGGTTCTGGTGGTAATATTTCCGATTTAAAATATGATTCCAATGGCGATTCAGCAGCAGCTGTTGCTTCCGTAGTAGCAGGTACATTTACCTGTGTTTGATCAACGCTAAGCTGATGTGTAGTTGATGATTGATCATCATTCGATATGGCCATCGTTGTTGTTGTTGGTGGTGGTTGTAAAACAGGTGCAGCCGGTGATGCTAACATAAATCCAGATGGTTGTGACCAGGCTAAATTTGTTTGATTTAACAATAATGAATCCGATTGAATCTTGTTCAATGATTCTGTTGATTGTTTATTTGGCTGTGCCATTTAATAATGATGATGATGACGAATTTTACATTCGCAATTTATATAAAAAAAAAATTGTCAAACAGATTTCCGTATAAGCAAATGTTTTGAATTTAGGTACACAGATCGAACGAATTCATCAATGAGTCATAAATAATTCTTTCGAATGAAAATTTTTACAATGAAAAATCATTCATTATCACATACAGGAACAAATAGGACACAGAAACAACAACAAAAATTTGCCAAAAGAGATAATTTATTATCATTCAATATATTGATCATCATTCGATTTCATTTCGACAAAACAGAAAACATATGTGTGTGATGTGTACGGAAAAAAAAATCAACAATTTGTACAAATAGCGACATCTGACGTTCAAAATTTTTAAAATTATTCAAGGACAATTTTTTTGTAAAAAAGCTTTATTAATTTTTTATTTTCAAATTAAAAATTAATGAAAAAATTAAAAAAATTTTAAAGAATTTTGATCAATAAACAAATATAGATAGATCACAGTGATTTTTTTTTTGAAATCGATCAAACAATTTGGCAAATCACACATTTCAATCACAGGTTATCCCGATTAAACAAGCATTTGCTAATTAGAAAAAAGAAATTAAGATAAACAAATTAAATTTGAATCAAAAACAAAAATACCTTAAGTTGATAATCTTTAATTGTAGATGAAATGGAAAATAATCGATTACGTTGTTGGGCATCCGATAAAAGTTGATTCCAAATTGAATTTTTTGAAAATTTTTTCTTATGTAAACAAATACAAAGTATTGATCGTGCACGTGTTAATGCAACATTCATTCGTTGTTGACTACGTACAAAACCAATTGTACCAATACGGCCAAATTCATCCGGTGCTCGAACACATGAAAGTATAACAATATCACATTCTTGTCCTTGAAATGCATCAACAGTATCAATTTTAATTTGATCAATTAAATTTTTGGGAAATTTTTTCATTAATTCCGATAAAATTGTTTTTTTCTGTTCCTGATAAAATGTTATGATTCCAATTGAAACAGGTAATTCTTTCATTGTTAATCGATTATAGCCAATTTTTTCAATAATTTGTCCAAATAATTTACAAACAAATTTAACTTCATTAAGATTTAATCTTGAAATTTGTAATGATGATTCATATGAATCTTTAATATCA